CTGGATATTGCTTTCAACTCTCTCTTTTTGAGTTTGAGGATGGGTTCGGGGGTGAGGGTCGGGGAGGAGGAGCTCTCACCTGGGTGAGTCCCGAACAATCTGGGTCTTTCTCTCCTTTGAGACTGCGCCTTTGGTAGGGCCCCCTCTGCCTTGCCGGAGCTGTCTCCCACTCCTGGCATTCCCTCCACTCACCAGTGCCGTGAAAGATGGCAAAGCTGGAGACCTTTCTCACCTTTGTCCGTGTGCCCCCTCAAGGTCTGTATTGTTAGCTGTTGCTGTTTTCTAATTTCCCATACCTGCTTTCCCATCTCTTGAAGTTGTTTGTAATGATCTCATACTATTCCATCAAAATAATATAGCAATTTTCTTAATTATTCTTCTATTGTATGATACATAAGTGGTGTCTAACATTTCATTGATTTGTTCAATTGACCCATTCGTGTATATACTTTCCCCGGGTTTTATATGATTTCCTTAGGACCTACTCCCAGAACTGGCATGGTCAAATGGGATGACCGCTTTTACGGCTCTCCTGCAATCCCATGCCAATGAGCTTGCCTTGGCTGGTTAGCAAGCAAGATGGAAACTGACGTGGAAGAAGAGGACAAGTGGCTCTCGGAGAACTTTGAAACTCATGATTCAATCTTTTAATTTCCTTTAAGGGATTTGGTGGCATCAAAGCTTTTGAGAATGGTGGTAATGTTAAAAGTACTATTGAACATCATAATTTTGACTTGAGGTCAGATGCATGAGGGCAAAGATGAAATTAGAAAGAGTAGGTCCATTAGGAGGTGATTAGAATAACTCTGGGATGGTGTTATGGCTGATGCCTTGAAACTGTGAATGACTTTCTAAATCACTTGTAGTGGGAGATTAGTGACTGTTTTATAACTAATGTTTGCGTGCCACTGAATTCTGACCCAACGTAGACTTAAGTGGCGCAGACTTGGCTCTGACTTGGAATGGTCAGTCCTTGGAAGTGAGAATACAATTTAATCCTGTGGGTTTGCCATCCAGAGGAGTTCCCTTCCGGCTCACTTGGCACGCAGGCTGTGTGCTGAGCCTCACTTGCTGCCTGTGGGCTAGGCACCTGCAGGCCACGGCAGGTGTCGCAGCTGGTAGATTTGCTTCGCCCACTGTAAGCCATGTCCTGATCGAAACAGAAACTTGGATCTGATGGAAAATTCGTGTCTTTTTCCAGTCTCCAGTCCACTATCCCACCAATACCTTCAGTTACATTTTACCAAGAACATTTCTATGTGATTTCCTTAACGATCCATTTTCTGAGGTTTATCCTATGCTTCCCCCTGAATTTTGCAATCCCTGAATCATCAGGAATGAATTTTTGGAGTTGCCTCAACCTTTTCATTTTTCATTCAAAAATTTTAAGTTTTGAGAGAGCATGAGGTCATAAAGGTGAGAGGCATCTAAAGTCCAGATTGTGAAAAGAACTGCTTCCCGCCAGAACACCTTCATTCCCACCAGGGCATATACAGATCCTCTGCTGTATACAGAGTTGGTCTTGCTCTGAATCATATTGGGTGAATCAAAGAGGACAGAAGTGTAGTTTTCATGATCAAAATTGTGACCGTTTATGAAGACATGCTCATGATAGTATGCTACAAAAAAGAATGATACACAATTACAAATACTAAGTTCCCAGTTTTGTAACAACCAAGAATTAAAAACAAAACAAACATATATACATGCATTAAAAAACCAGAAGAAAATCCGGAAAATATTAACACTAGTTATCTCGAAGTAGTGGGATTATGAATAATTTTTTAATTACTTGAATTTTTTCTTTTCCTCCACAACTTTGCTAAAATAAGGATGTATTGCTTTTATAAAGAGACAAAAAAGGATAATTAACATATTTAAATCACAAAGAAAACAGGATTGTTAAAAGTGTATTTCCTTGTGCTTGGTGGAATGAAAAGAGACAGAATTAAAGGCAATGCAGCGCAGCCCCTTTTGCACTTTCCCACCCTGACTGCTTCCGGGAGTCGTCAACAAGACTGTTACTGTCACTCTGAGGGGCCAGGTGCAGCCATGATGGGGAAGTGCCTGGCACCATCCAGCACCCATGGGTTCCATAGATAGTCCAACAGTAGTGACTAGTGTTTGAGGTCTTATTATTTTCTTGGAGGGGAATGAGTATCTCACTCTTGGTAACACCCATTCTTTGAGTGCCAACCATATAATCATTCTAGAATCTTATTACTGAATGCTGGTTACAGTGCAGTTCAGTCCACTCACTCTTTAAAACAGAAGCAGTTGATCAGTGTGATAACTAACATTATAGGTTTCCCTAAGTTCAAATAATGCTCTCAAATTTTATGCAAAACTGCACCAGCAAGGGCCAGAGTCACTACTTACAGGTGTGTGGGGAGTGGGGGGGGCGGGTCAGGGTTAGCCTCCTGTTCGCCCTCTTCCTGCTGCCTCCTGCCTCCCTCGTAGCATCTCCCTGGCTGTGCCAGGACCAGGGGGTTGCAACTCCCACGGAGAAGCCCACAAGTTTGCAGAACTGGCAGGAGGGGTCAGAAGTCTCCCTGCTCCTATTTTTGAGGTGGGCGGTTTTACGCTTGTGGCTCCCTTTTCACCATAAGGCATGTAACAGGTTGACCTCCTCCTCCTCCTCTGAAGAGCCTCAAAGAATCACAGTTTCCTGCCCCGTTTGACCACAGGGGAGCCTCTCCAGAAGTCCCATAGCTCTCCTGGGATTTGAGGGCGGCACTGGAATAATGGTCTTCTCAGCATCCATAGCGACTCTGGTCAGCACATCACTGGGCTGAGTGGGAGCCTGGGTTGCCCCAAGGAAGATGGGGAAGCCTGAGAAGTGTGTCTCCTGCCCTAGACTTTTGTGCACTCTGCTCTTGTTTTCCAACCTCCCTGGGGAGAGTTTCAAGAAGCAACAGAACCCAAGGTGTGATGAAGCAGGAGGATCAAACTATTTCCTCTCTCAGGAGCACTGGCACTTTGATCGGGAAGGAAGACTGAAGCCAGGGCAATCACTTGCTACTTAGGACACTTCAGGCATCTGGTATCAAATAAGCGGAGTGTTGGGCAGCGATGAATGTTGAAAATAATCCTATTCCAGCTCTGAAGTCAGTGCAGTCATTCATTACTTAACACGTTGAGTGAGCACCTACCATGCGTGAGGCACTGTGCACAATGAAGAAAAACACACACCCTGACTGCACCCTCATGGAGCTCCAGGCCGTCTCTGGACACAGCAACACGGTGTTACACAAATCATGAGACTGGTTTTCTCTGGGAGCTTATGAAAACTAATACGGTTCTATTTGAGTAGCGCTTGAATTTTGCTCAAAGTGTCCTTGACATCTTCATAAGTCACCTGGTCGTGCATCATACAGAGACATTCTGTTCATACTATTTTCACCTGGCCCATGGAGAAAACGTTGACAAAAACTAGTTGGCATTAAACAAAATGTAATTTTTTAGCAAACAATGGACAGTAATTTGGCTTCAGGTATTGCCCTGTTGGAGACATCTATCATGTTTTTTGCCTACCCAGCATCATTTCTTTTGGTCACAGCACCCCAATTTCACCTTGAGGCGCCCGTTGCTCCCATTCCCAGGGCATTGATTGACTTACCGAGCCCCTAGCTCCAGGAGAGAGCACATGATCTGGGCCCAGCCAATCTCTTGGTCATAACGACTGGTTCAGGTATGGACACAGGACCCACAAGGGGCCTATAGAAAACCTTTGCAATTTTCCCCCATAGTCATTGGAAAAGAATCAGCTCTTTCCATTGGGTTTGCAGGCTGGAAAGAGCCTGCTTGAGAACACGGCCAAGATGAGGAAAGCAGAGAATAACAAAGAGAGATTTCTGACATTGTTGGAGTGATTGTGTTTAGGTCTATCCACAGATTTTCAATTTATATGATTTAGTGTATAGGTAGAGAGAGATTCTTGGATGTAGTTCTGTCTTTCATCAGCCAATTTGAGTCGGGCTCCTTTCATGAGCAGAGGAAGGTCCTCATTCATTCAACCGTATTAAACTTTTACACTTCCAAGAGCACCGAATCAGAAGATGATGATGGACTCATTGCCTGACCACTCGTTGATTCCTTTATTTGACATATACTTATTGAGCTTCTAGTCCACTGGTCATAGGCCAAAACCAGTATGGCCAAGTGGGCCTTGTTCAGGGTGACCCCAGTGAGGAGAGGGGCATTCTGAGGCCCTGGGGCCTCTCTGATCAACTGGGCACCCAATTCCACCTGCAGCTGAAACAGCATCCCAGCCTCTTTGAAGTATTGGCATATCCCTTCAAAGCATCCCTAAACTTTTCTTCTTGCTCCCTCTCTGGAGAAAGGAAGGACACTTGAAAAATCATGCTGGATTACAAGGAAGTGGATGAATGATTCTGATTCGTTATCCTGTAGCTGTGAAGAATCGCGTTTTCTTTCAAGCCTGTTAAGGAGGCCTGAAAGAAACAAGGTCCCCCAGGCCTGGTGAGGACCTCGTGCTACCTAAGACACAAATGGGCTTCTTTAGTCCCCACTGTCAGCCATGCGGACGCCGCACCTCATCATGGTCGCCACCGGAAAGTGGAGCTATAAACAGCCAGGCTGCAGCCCCCCGGGAAACGGTTCCTGCCAAAAGCCCCCTGTGCTGACAACCCCTGGGAACGGGGCCTCTGTTTTTCACAAAATAGATCAAATAATGTGCTTAATAGGGAACTAGGGGAGATGGAAAGGTACTCTGACACCATCAAGCATGCTCCTTCAGCATCAAATTTTTGTCATTTTTTTATTGCTCCTTTCTCATCTGCTACTCTAAGGTTTAGAACCTCGAGAAGAAAAACAGAGTTTTATTTTCACACCTACATCCCATGCTTTCTCTTCCGTTCCTTTTTCAAGTGAGAGAAAGTGGCAGATTTACCCTTTCATCACACACCCTCACAATCATGTACACATTCACAAAACTCTTGCCTGGATATGTATGTGTGTACAAACAACCCCAAGACACATAGAAATAAAATCATGTATTGTTTAGGGGCATACATCTCTGTAGATAGATAGGTAGATAGATGATAGGTAGGTAGGTAGGTAGATGGATAGATAAAGGGATAGATGATAGAGAGATAGATATACATGATATAGACCTCAAAATATCTGACACACACAAATCTCCCAAATTCTGCTAAAACAAAAAGCTTATTATAGTATTGGGCTTGACTAGGTTACAAGTTTTAGAAGATGTGTTATATTTAAAAATAGTATTGAAAAATACATATATCCCAAATATTAACATTATCCTGGAGTTAGGAAAACTGTAAATGGGATGAGAAAATTGAGGTATCCTTGGTGACATAAGGTCTTTTAGTCTGGGAGACAATTTTCTGAGGTCAGGATAGGGTGTGGTCTAACAGACCTCCAGGAAAACACCTGCTCCACCTACCAAACCAGCACGACGAGACAGTGAAATACTCAGATCTGAATAAGGATCAACCCTGAAGATCAAACATTTATTCAGATTAACATCTTTCAGCAGGAGTGCACGAAGACACAAGTTAAGGAAGGGGAGTCAGGCCCCCTGTTCCTTGCAAAACCGCCTGCACTCTGCAGACAGAACATTAAAGCCAGAGCTGCCAGTGAGAGCCGACTGAAGACCCCAACCCACTCCTGAGTCGGGAAGGAGAACCTGGGCTTCCATCAAGAGCAGCTTCCCCGGGCAGCAGGAAGGATGCCTGCACATCTCAACACTCAAAGCACCTCCCAGGAAACTGCTAATCCATGCTCGAGGCCAGCTTGTGGAGGTGCGAACTTCATCCTCACACGGTGAATCAGAGGGCAGGCGTTGTTCAGGTACCACTGCCCTGCTTTCAGGATGAGGATAGGCAGCAGGGCTGTGGAACCTCATCAGAGATGCTCCCTGCGGCCTCTTCCTCCCTGGCAGAAGCAGGCCAGCTGAGCCAGTCACCTCCCATGGTAGTCATCAACAAGAAAACTAGGGGACAAAAAGCTCCTATTGCTGGAACAGACACATATTTTTTTAATGTTTCAATAAGTTTCTCTTCTAGTCCAATGTTTTAAAAACTGGTTGGCCAGTTCAAATTTGGACCTAGCTGGAAGTTTGTCTCCGGGTCTTGATACAATTTAAGATCTTCTGTAACTTATAGGACTTATATTTTCAGCAATACTATTTTCTTTTGTTTCTGGCCACCGGAAATTAGCTTTTACTTACATCTGAGAACTGTAAAGACTTTGAACATCAAAAAGGCTATCACTTTACACAAAGGAAGTCTGATAAGCTAAATCAGAGTCCAGTTCCGAGGTCAGCGGAGGGGTCAGTGGATGCGGCCAGGACCCAGCCCTGCAGGTTGACAGTATCCCAGGGAGTTGTCACCACAGGAAATTGCTTTAAATAAGATTTTTTTTTTGTTTTTTTAACCAAGTCTACCAAGTGACACACACTCAAGCTGATAAAAGTCTGCTGCCCTCAGATCCAATCTCTGTCTGCGGACGACATAGAGGCCAGGAAGCAAATACCCTGCATCTTCAGGGGGCTCCAGACCCTCCTCCTAGGCTGCTTCTGCGATGGCTTCATCTGCTGCTGCTCCTACTGTTGCTGCTGCTTCCAGAGAGACGTCTCCAGCAGCTTCATCACGGGCACAATGAGCTCATCCTCACATTTTAGTGTCCTGGACAGGGGTGTCTTCCTGTGAACAGAGGAGGAAAGAATGAATTAGGAAGACAGTGGGGAAATCCTGACACTCGGCATATGTCCTTGGGGATGGCAGATCAGGCAGTAATAGTAATGGTAATAATAATGCTCTGTGCCTGACATAGTTTGTTACGTGCATCAACTCATTTATTCCTCACAAAACCAATGACTTGGGTACTTCTAGTAACTCTGTTTTATAGGTGAGACAGTTAAGGCAGAGAGAGTTTAAGTGACCTCCCTTAGGTCACACAGCTTATAAGTGGTGGAGTCAGGGCCCAGAGCTTGAACCCTCAACTATTAGGTGATACTGCCCATTTCTTGATGGCTGGCTTCCCATGTCCTCCGTGCCCTAGCTTCTTACCTACTCACTCCTTCCCACTCAATTTCATCTTCCTGAAACACTGCTCAAGAATCTTTGGCAGCATAAAAATGGAAAAAGAACAGAAAGAAATGAAAATAAAAGACTTGAGTAAAGGACAGGAAAATAGCTATGTATTCAACATTCATTCAAAAGGTATGACTTTTAGCTCCTTCTCTGCAAGGAGCCACACGAGGCCTCAGCACCACCAGTTCTCTAGCTGCGAAGTGGAGACGTTCGCAAGTGTGTGCACTGAGCAAGGCGGTAGGTGACACGGGCTGCCCTGGTGGACTAGATGAGTGTGAGGAGCTGTGCAGCTCTCTGGGGCTTTGTCATGGGGCAGTCAGGGAAGGCCTGCGGAGGACAGGGATGCAGTGAGAGGACTTCTAGGTCAGTGAGACGGCCCAGCCAGCTGAGAGCAATCTCACTGGGGGTGCAGGCACTGGGGGATGGGGGGGCGGCAGGAGCCGGTGACAGGATGTGTTGCCTACTGTGGGATGGTGGGTGGTGTAGGCTGCCTGGAGCCCTGGACCCCTCAGGGGGGACAGGTGAAGGCTGGGCACAGTGGCAAAGTTCGGCACGCAGAGGGGTGTGAACTCGACTTTCCAACGGGTTTTGGGTAGGAGAGCAGACAACCGAGATGGCATTTTCAGGAAGACGAATTTGGTGCTAATGTGGAGGGAGGGTCTGGAGACCAGGAATTCCGTTAGGCGTGAGTTGTGACTGTAGAGATAAGAAAGAAAGGGTAGTGCTGGGGTCACGGCAGCGGAGATGGAGACGGAGAGAGAGGAAGTGAAAGCTCCCACGTGAGAAATCTCATGAGACCTGGGAGGGATGAGGTATGGAGGTAGAAGAAATGGAACTGCCTCATTAGCAGAGATGGGCAAGTATAGCTAAGGCATTTTGGGTTTCAGTTGACTGTAGGTGAAGAGACAGAGTGAGTAGGATGAATTTGGTTCTGGAAATGTTGAGTGTGAGGCACTGGCGGGCCTCCCAGTGGGGAGGTCTGCTGGTGTGTGGTTGGGACCACGGCCAGGCTGGCACTGAGTCAGGAGTGGTCCGGAGGTGACGGTGAGGTCAGGTTTAGGAATCATTCAGAAAACGTGATGGCTGAAGCCTGCGAGTGAGAGCCAGAGGAGACTGCCAAGGTCAGAATGTGGCAGCTCTTTAGGAGGCAGAGAGGGAGGAGGGGCCGGGGCAGCCTCGCCAGACAGAGGCGAAGGGAGGGAGGTGGTTTCCAGGGCAGGCCGCCAGCGTCAGCTGCTCCGCAGAGGTGAGGGTGAAGAGAACCAAGACATGACCAGTCTTTGGGGGCTGGGAGGGCATTTGTGAGCTTCAAGATCATTGATAAGAGTGAAATCACGAGGGGAAACAAATGAGAGGGAGACAGAGAAGATGGTGTGTATGGGGTTGGGGGGCGGGGCAGAGGTTCTTCTTTAGGATTGGAGAGATCGAGCATGTTTGTAGGCAGAAAGGGGTGAGCTAGCAAGGAGCCTGAAATACAGAAGAGAAACCAAATAGGGAATTCTTAGTCTAACCCACCACTTAAAATGCACAGACACACCCCACAAATGTCCAGAAAATGGTATCGGGGGGAAGCTAGAGCACAGCAGATGAGGGGCTCTGTGCTGTCAAGGAGAAGGGGTCTCTCCTCCGAGTCACGGGAAGAGGAGACGCAGAGAACGAGGAAGGCGGGAAACTGGCTGGTCTTCCTTTCAGTCAAACAGGTGAGGTCATCCGCAGAGCGGGAGAGGATGTCAGGTGCAAGTGCGAGGAATGTGGGAGGAAAGAGGACGGCAGACGTGCAGCGAGAGGCCTCCGGCAGCAGTGAGGATGGGTGCGACTCAGCCGGGTCGGTAAGGGTTTGGAGAAGATCCAGGCAGCAGGGTCTTGCGAATTCCACCAAGGACATGCATAAGTCTTGGCAGAGAAGGTGGGTATGAGAGGGACTTAGCTTTGGGGGGCAATACAGGAAGATGGAGCAGGTCAGGGGTGAGAGGCAGATTAAGAAACAGCAGGACAGCACTTAAGTGGTGCCACGAGGTCCCTGAGGTCCCTGGGGGGAGGGACCTCAGTGAAGGGCAGTTTTGACGGTAAGGGAGGGGTTGAGGTGGGAATGCAGGGGAGTGTGGCCCCAAGAGAAGTGAGAAGGGATAAAGGCCGAGAAATGAGTCTCAGGGACCTGCCCAGTTAATGGGGAGGGAGAAGAAAGAAGAGAGCAAAGTAAACACTTAGTTACAAAGTCAGGAGAAGGGGCTGTCCCAGCTGAAGTGAGGGAGAAAGGAGCTTCAAACCAGATGTGGCAAAATCAAGGAGCATGGCCTGGAAAAGCAACTGCACCAGGCCGTTAGGGAGTCAGCACTTACTGTCAGTACTACAAAGTCTTGGATGTGACATCAGAGCATCTGGAATGTCTCTGTTTGGATGAGTCTGTCTCCGGCATATGTGAGGGTCCTAGAAGGTACTGGCTACGAAATGAGTGAGAAACACTTGTTCCATTTATTTACAGTGTTAGAGCTGGATCGTATTCAGTGCCCTCTTTCCAGCGCTACTTTTCCTATAAACAGAATCCTAAGTGCTGTGATTTGGTATGTCCAGCCTGCACCATGATGGAAATTCCCAAGATGGCTCATTTCTTTAAGCATGAAATGTTAACATACTTGTGAGGGGCAACATAACAGCAAGTTAATCCTTTATAGTATTTCATACATCTGATGCCTTCGGCCCACTTAGGAAACCTTGCCCTGCTTCCTCTTGAAGAATCAATTGCTCCATCCTTTGTACTTTACACAGCACTGCAGTTCCCAGGCAGAATCAGTTATTCTACTGTCTTGTCGTTATTTTTGTTTGTTTGTTTATGCCTCCGTCTTTTTCATCTGTGAGCCCCCAGTAACTAACACAGTGCTAGAGATAACTGTCGAATGCAACCATCATTAGTTTATCTGAGGAATCGATTTCTACCATCAAAGGACAAGATGTGGCTTAGATCATGGGGCTGGACAGCGGTCTCTTAGTGCCTCTGCCGGATCAGGAAAGACCTGGGATGGGTTTGGGGGGCCCTGGGAAGCCCGTGACCCTCTCACTGGGGAATCCTTTTGCAGCACTGCCTGAGGCATTTTGGTGCTAACCTTGCGCAGGCGGGAGAGGGACGGAAGAGGACTGGAGGCCACGCCTCCTCAAGATGAAATAAATTATGCAGGTGGGCATAGGTGCTTTGTGAAGCAGTTTATTCCGATGACTGGAGCTGGTGTCCATCACGTCAACACCGAGCTCTGTGACCTTGGACAACTCCTGTCCCATCTTGTAGACTCAGTTTCTTTCTCTCTAAGACCAGGGGGTTGGGCTAAGAGCATCAAAGTGTTGCATCTCAGTGATGGCTAAGGAGAAGGAAAAGCGTGGAGAGGTGGTGAGTGGAACTACTCTTTCTCCACCTGGGCTTCCTGTTTGGGAGAAGAATGCTTCTGAGGGTGCTGGGCATCTCGTCCTCGTGCCAGGGCCATGTCAGGTGAGGAAGATGAAGCAGTAAGGCTCAAGATGAAGCAGTAAGGCTCAAGAAATTTCCAGTGAGCCTGCCCCAAAGATCCTGGAGCTTCTCCAGGAAGCCTTCTCTACCTGAGACCTGCCTGAAGCTTTTCAACCAAGGACCGAGGTGGCGGGTTTTTTTTTTTTTAAAGATTGGCACCTGAGCTAACATCCGTTGCCAATCTTTTTTTTCCTTCTTCTCTCCAAAGCCCCCCAGTAGATAGTTGTATATTCTAGCTGTGAATGCCTCTGGCTGTGCTATGTGGGACGCCACCTCAGCATGGCCTGATGAGAGATGCCATGTCCACATCCAGGATCCAAACCGGGGAAACCCTGGGCCACTGAAGTGGAGTGCACAAACTTAACCACTCAGCCACGGGGCCGGCCCACCAAGGTGGCTTCTTAACCCTTCAGGACTGGAAGATGAAGCCAGTGAGATGGGAAGGTCTCCTGGCAAGGCAGGCACCTCCTAGCCTGAAAGTAAGATGAGGGAACCACTGGCAGGTGACTATGTGGCTCCATCCTCATAAAGGAGTAAGGGTTTGGGGCATGCATTTGCCTTCTGGAGACTTGGTGGCTATCTCCAGGCTAACAAGATCAGATTGCTCATTTAGAATGGATGGTATTGCGGCTGGCCTGGTGGCGTAGTAGTTAAGTTCATATGCTCTGCTTCCGCGGCCAGGGGTTCGAGGGTTTGGATCCTGGGTGCAGACCTACACACTGCTCATCAAGCCATGCTGAAGTTGTGTCCCACATAGAAGAACTAGAAGGACATACAACTAGGATATACAACTATGTACTGCGGCTTTGGGGAGAAAGAAAAATAGAGGAAGATTGGCAATAGTTGTTATCTCAGGGCCAATCTTCCTTACCCAGAAAAAAGGATGGTGTTGAAGAAATCTGAATCATCTTTGCCTAATAGCCCAACCAGAGAGGTCTGAGTCATATGTCATGAGTCTTTGGGACCCACACGTTCTTCTCCCCAATCTGGTTTGAGTGGGAATAAATGTGAGAAACCCTGGGGAGCCCCTACAAACACATCAACCCCTCTTATGTCTGTAGCTGTATCATTAAAGATGATTTCTTTTGGGTCAAGAAGTTTTCTCTTTTCTTTTAAAATTCATTCATGCACTCAACAAATTTTTTTTTAAGGACCTACAATGTTCCAGCTTCTGTAGCAGGTACTGGGAATACAGTGGGGAAAAGAGTCAAGAGAGATCATAAAGAAGTAAACAAGAGAATTTCAAATAGTGATACGTTCTAAGATGACAAAGTGGAATGGTGGGAGAGAGTAACCGAGGGGGTGGTGGTTTCCTTTGGTTCGGGTGGTCAAGACAGACCTAGGTGAGGAGGGGCCTCTTGACTGAGACCTGAAGGAAGTGGCCACGTGAGGATCAGCAGGGGGACTGCTCCAGGTGGAGGGGGCGGCAAGGATAGAGCTCTGAGGGGGATGAGCTCCGGGTACTGGAAGAACAAAACACCATCAGCGTGGCTAGAGCACAGCGAGGGGAGAAAGAGAGCCAAGGGGAGCCGGGCAGCACCCCCCACTGCACATGCAGGGCCTCACAAAGGGTTTGGGTTTTATTTTGAGTGCACTAGGAAGCCAGAGGACAAGGGGGTTGTATCCCCCCAAAAGCTATGTCCACTCCTAACCCCGGGTACCTGTGACTATGACTTTGTTTGGAAATGGGATCTTTGCAGATGTAATTAAGGATCTCAAGATGAGATCATTCTGGATTTAGGGTGGGTCCTACATCCAATGACTGGTGTCCTTATAAGAGAAAAGAAGGGGACGTTTGAGACACACAAATACCAATGGAAAGACCACGTGAAGACAGAGGCAGAGGCTGCAGTGATGTGTTCACCAGCTGTGGATGCCAAGGGTTGCTGGCCACCAGCAGAAGCTGGAAGAGGGGAGGACCGATGTCCGAGGGTTGCTGCCAGGAGTAAGGGGACAGGCACGGAGCAGTCTCCCTCCTAGCCTCCAGAGGGAAGCAAGCCTGCCAATACCTTGATTTGGAGTTCTGGCCTCCAGAACTGGGAGAAAATACATTTCTATTGTTTTAAGCTGCCAATTCTGTGGTAATATGTTATGGTCTGCCCTAAAAAATTAACACAGGAGGTGAGTAGTTTTAGCAACGAGTCCATGACCTAAACACACATACCCACAACACCCAAACTCTCTGGTTGTTGTACAGAGAATGGACTATGCAGGCAGAAAGTGGCAGCAGGAAGCCCCATCAGAGGCTAATGCAGGAGGAAGCTGATGGTGGCCTGAGTGAGTGAGTGAGTGAACAACGGGAAGGGAAGGGGACCCTGGAGGGTGACTTGTTGAGGAGAGGGGTGGGACATCCAGCTCTTTCTGTGGAACTTCCTAGTCTTGGCAAGGCTGGTTCTGCTCCTGAAGCAGAGGTAGGTGAATGATGATGGGCGCCCCAGGAGTGGTGGGGAGGGGCGCTGCCCGGCTGCCACGTTGGGGCCCAGCCCTCCTGCTCCTCATGTGCACTGGGAGTCCAGCGCCCGGGTGTGGATGGATGGAACACGGAGCCGCCTTCCAAACGCCGCCCTGCCCCGAAGCTTCTCCAACTCGCCTGTGCTCGTCCCACACACTGTGCCTCCTCCGCCAGGGCTCCGGCTTCCCCCGGAGAGCCCCTGCCCAAGGCCACACCTGGCCCTCCTTCACGCACCCTAGGGCTGCTGCCCGCAGGTGCCCGGGTCTGCGAGTCTTTTAGGGAAAGGAGCACGCCTTCTCCCTCTGAGTCCCTTCAGCAGCAGCCAGCCCAGGGCTGCCTCACAGGATGTCTGTGGGCCTCAGCGGCAGAGCTGTGCCCAGGCGGGGTCGCTCCTTACACACCCAGGGTGCACCAGACCTCCAGTCAGCCAGAGGGGGCATGAGACACACTTCCCTCTCTTGTCCTCTTGTCCCCTCCCCATCAGCGACCCCTGTCTCAGCCCAGTGCTGTTGTTACTGCACACTGAGCTGCTCTGTGAGGGACTGTGAGGAAAGGGCATGTGACAAAGGCACGCGCTGGCACTAGCCCTGCCCTCCCCGGGTGGACCCCCGGCCACCTACCTCTGTCCTGGGGACCTCACTGCTGCTTTCCGGCTGGGCCTGGCTGGTCTCGGGGTGGCAGCCCGGCTCAGGACTGGCCCCCTCCTCTGGCATGTCCTCGCCTTCCCCCTGCTCCGGGCTGTGGCCGCCCTCTTCTCCTGCAGAGGGACGTTGGGGGGCCTCCTCCCCCGCGGCCCCCTCCCTGGGCCCCTTGTCGTCTTGGCTGTCTTGCGCGGGCTCCCCCGCTTCATCTCCTGCCCTCTCCTCCGTCTCCTCTGGAGCCTTCTCCGCCTGCTCTGCGGCAGCTCTGTCCTCCGGGGGGCCCGCACACCCCTCCTCCACCTCCGGGGCCTCCTCCCCGGAATTCACGGCCGTCCCCGGCTGCGGGGCTTCCTCGGGGGCCCGGCCCTTCTCCTCCTGCTTCTCTGTCCCACTGGACGTCCTCCTCAGAGGCGGCTTCTCCTGGGACCCCAGGCTCTTCCTTGCTTCCTTTCCCGCCGCCCCCTCGCTGGGCGGAGGCGATCCTGGGGACCCCGGGGCCGCGCTCTTGGTCAGGAACACCTCGTCTCCATTCTCTTCCTTGGCACCATTCTCCTGGGATGGCTCGGTGGCCCTGAGATTTCCCAGGTCCCCACAGTCCGACTGGGACCTTCGGAACCGCCTGGAGGGAGGGCGCCTTTTGATGGAGCCCCTGGTCCGCACCTGGAAGAGAGTGTGATGCGGAATCATCCACAACCTGTAAAAAGACCCGGAGGAGGACTGCGTGTTCTTCCCGCGTTGGTCTAAACACTGCTTCACAGGCCGGCCCCGGGGTCATTTGCTTTTGCAGGGGAAGGGACTATTATTTGCTATATATGACAGCCCTGTGGGATGGTGAAATTACATGGGAGCCTGCAGACTTTTGTCTCGTGAAGATGAAAATGCTCTCCATCCAGTAAAAAAACAACCTGTGATTTTACTGCCCTGTAAAACATTAATCGGTTTGGTGTCTAATTTAGCAATTTTATTCTAACATTTGTTCTTTTCAACCACCTATAAGTAACCGTTCTTCAAATGTTCTTTGAGTGAGCTTTACCATCTTACAGGTTTCCTCATAAATTGACAACTTGAATAAAACCCATCTCTATTTTGTAAGTCATATTTTAACATTTTGAAAATTAGACTTTGACAAAGGTGAACCCAACAGACAAGAGGGTTAGGGGCTTGCGGGCGACCTGGCCTTGGCACAGAGACCTCATGGATGCAGAGTTGGACAGCTGGTGACCAGCTCCCTCCCTTCCCCCAGATGGCCCTTCCTGCCCCCCACCCCACACAGCTGACTGACCCTGGGAGAGCTGAGTAGCCAGAGTCTTGCCTTCTAGGAGTCAGGTCCACCACTATGGGAGGCCATATCTTAGGAGCACCCAGCGGAGCTGGTGCACAGCATTTCCTCTCTGGGCAGTGTGTGAATCTCAGAATCGGGCCTCACCTCGGCCCACTGGACTTTGTCCGAAGCTCAATGGAAATGTTTATATCGCCGCCCTACTTTACTGAAGTGAGGTGTCCTGTAAAACTTTATATGTAAACTACATCTTATTTTTGTAAATCTTAAATGTTATTTTTGTAAATCTTATTTTCCCACTGGCTTGAGTTTTCGTATTTATCACACCTACTTCCATCTCAGAGGTCTGGAATAGATACTCGGTTTATAAGAGCTTCTGGGACTTTGCTGAGATGAGCGTGGGCCAGCCTGCAGGCTGTGAGGCCCTCCCCGTCCCGCTCCACCCCCTGTCAGCAGCTCAAGCCTGCCCCATCCCTTCCTTACCATCAGTTTGTTTCCTTAGGCCCACCTGTTTCTACACATTTGACCTTTTTTCCCTAGATGGATTTTCCAGAAGGGCCCCGAAGATCCCGCTCTCTCCATCCTTAATTCTAAAGTCACATCCATCAGCCATCCCCGGCATCAGAGCCCCTTAACTCCCCACCGCTGCCCAGCCCTGGCCCTGATTCGCTGGGTACCTGCTGGGACCACACCTCTGCTTCCCACCTCTGCCTGGGAGGGCCGGGGCTCTGAGGAAAGCCTGCATGAAGTATCAGGGCGGCATCTACAGAAACCAGCCCTGCCACACGTCCTTTTGCAAAGGGAACACTTTAGATGACCTTTAACTGAGGCAAGATGCAGCACGAGCGACTTGAGCCCAGAGTGAGACACTTCAGACCATTCACATGAGGCCAGGACAAGGGGTTCCGGATCCTTGTGCCCCTGCCCGCCCTTCTGCGTGAATCGCTGATCACCCCATCAGCTCCTGAATTTCTGTGGAGCTGGGTTCAGTCCCGACTTCCCACCCATCTCCTCACAAAGGATGGAGCACTCCACCCCGAGGCCTGCCTTTCGGGTGGTGAGTGGCACAGTTACAGGAGAGGAGATGAGGGAGGCAGGCCAGGTAGAGGGGTGATCTTAGTTCAGCGATCACTTGCAAAGAAGAGGAGAAATTTCCTTTCTGTTAAAAACCAGATCTGGACCAGCCCAGTGGCATAGTGGTTAAGTTTGCATGCTCCTCTTTGGTGGCCTGGGGTTCACGGGTTCGGCTCTTGGGTGCAGACCTACATACTGCTCATCAAGCCCTACTGTGGTGGTGTCCCACATATAAAATAGAGGAAGATTGGTACAGCTGTTAGCTCAGTGACAATCTTCCTCAAGCAAAAGGAGGAAGATTGGCAATAGATGTTAGCTCAGGGCCAATCTTCCACACCACAAAAAAAAAAAAACAAAAAAAACCCCAAAAACCAAAAACCCAGCTCTGACTAAAGCTGAAATGTATCCTCCTTTCTCAAGGACAACAACATGGCAGAGATAATTCAGCCTGTTCCAGTGCCCACATTTCCACAGACACACCACAATGCTTTGGAGCCAGACATCACCTTATTGTAACAGGGCAGGTGACTGCCTTCAGGAGGCTGGTCGAAGCTGACGGGCACCTCCTCTGACTCGCTGGGCCGAGACCGCACGCCAGGGCTGCTGGGGGTAGAAGGCGGGCTGTGAAATGGCGACACCGCGGCCTTGAGTCCAGGACTCTTGGGTGAGGCCCCAGGCAGCAGGGCCGCTGGATCAAAGGCTAAATTGGCCTGTTGAGAAGAGACGAGACATTGCAAATGGGGGTGAAGAGAAGGTGAGAGTTTCCACTTTAGCTTGTTGGTTACCGGGCCTCAGAGCTGGTTGGGACAAGGTACCACGAGGCTTTATGAGTTACCTCCCAACCAGTTATCCATTATCACATTATGTCCTGCTCTTGTAATCATTGCCTAGTCAACCCATCGCCTGCTGCTGGCTTACCACTAGCCGCGTTCCAGAATGCCCAGAAAGTCCTGCTTTGCATCCAACAAAAATGCCCTGGAATGGCCTCAACTTACAGACAAAGAGCCCAAGATAGGACCTCACAGTAAGTTAGACCCCTATCACCTTTCTTGTCAGGGTCAGTCGTAGTCACTGCTCGCTGGATGCCCACTGCTGCTGGGCGCGTGCAGTATCTCCCTCCACAGCAACCCTACTGTCCAGTTTTGTTTGCATTGCACAAATTAGGAAAGCAGCTAAGAAATCTGCCCTGGGATGCAAGCCAGGTCTGTCCCTCGAGCCTTGTTGGTAGAGGGCCAGAGTGGGGGACACAGCAGGCTGCTGAGCCCTTCCAGGAGGGAGCCGCAGTGTAGGTGAAACCAGATTAAAATGAACCCTACGGGCAAGCAAAGGGGAGTGGTTACCCAAAGGAAACCGACGCCTGAGGGAGTCCTGAGTTTGGGGGGGAGGAGGTGGGTGGTCCACAATCCACCCCACTCCAACAGAGGTGCTGGTGGTGCAGGCAGGTGTCTAGAGCACCCGGATCCTCTTTAGTGGCATCAAGGGGTACTTGCTCCTCCAGCATTTCCAAATCATCGCACAGCTGCGTCCTCCGGACCAGGGCAGAGGGCAGCACGGCCTCCCAGGGAAGGGGCCAGGCCAGAGGGGCAGACAGACAGCGCAGTGGGAGGTACAGAGGCTGCACAGTGACACACCGGACTCCAAACGTCGCATCTGTCACTTAACAGCTGTGTGGCCTTCAGCGAGTCCTGACCTCCAGAGTCTTTTGGGATCTGGTCCCCATTACTCTCTCCTGTGGCTACCTGACTCACACCCCACACTCACACCCTCGCCTCCCAGACTCCCCTGGGCGCCACCCTACCGCCACCCTACCGCCAGCCAAAGCTGTTGTCCCAGAGGACTCCTACATGAACTTTAGGACTTGCAGGCGACAGAGCATTAGAGATGTTTAGGGAGGTATTCATATTTCCATTGTGACTTCAAGGAAGAACTTATACACAGACAAGACGAAGTCACGGTAAGAATTAAAATTACAAAAGTTAAATAGCAACTCTGTGAGCCCAAGCCATGTCAAAAAGCAGCACACGGTGGGTACCAAGGGATGGTTTGGACCAGAGGCCGTGGGAGCTGATGCACTGGGATGGCTCAGGGGCTTCACGGCAGAGGGGACTTGATGGGGCATTAACAGAGATCCTCCTGCCCTCAACTTCAGCTGGGAAGTTCCCTCTGTAAGACTGACGGCAAATGAAATGAATCTCGGTAGTCAGCAGAAAACTGGAACTTCGAATTATAGACTACGCAAGTGGAGAAAAATCAGTTTATTAACTCATCCGATAGACTATTTAGAAGAAAAATCTAGCTGATGATGCATTTCTTAGTTCTTTCTCCACATATTCATAACAAAGTAAAGTTCCTATGGGATTTGGCCAAATTGTCATACTATCACTGACACTCTTAATGAGATTAAACAATTGGAGATTAAAACCTCATTCTTAAGTTGCTGTGTTTCCCAAAGAGGCTCATTAATGACTGGAAAGGGGAGTGAGACCAAGACTGCAGGTCCGGAGCGTTTGGGAAGTAATTTCTGGCACTTGGATAAGGGCTGTGCTGGGCTGCAGGGAGGCAGGGAAGGGGGTCCTGGGCTAGACCCCTCGGACGGCTGCTGGGAGGGATGTCTGAGTTCCGGGGCCCCTTCTGGGAGCTCCCTGTTACGTGTAAGGGAGCCCTGCAGCCTCCTAGGGTGATGGGCAGCCCCACTCCCTGCCTGCAGTGGGGGGCTGGGGGTGGTACTCAGGGCTTCTCAGTAGGAATTAAACTTCAGGGAAGACTCCTCTCCACCCTCCGCAGGGGAGGCTCAGGGCCAGAAACCAAGGATGCTGCCCTTAACCCCAAATTAGGCTGGGGCCAAATCCCTGGGCTCTCGGGTCACTGGGGACCGCAGAGGCTGTGGCTACTTGCGTTGCGCACTAATAACGGCTTCAGAACAAAGCTGACAAGCCAATTTTCTTAGTTAGGCCCAGCCGGGAGGACACAGTGCATAAGAGCTCGGCTGTTCTCCTGGCCAGCTGCACAGAGACTGTGGTGAAGGCTGCAGCGTCTTCCAAAGGCCCTACCCAAATGGAGCATGCCCACCATCCTCTGCGCACTAGCTCACGCTGTTCCCACCAGGAGCACCTTCCTCCCTCTCTTCCAGCCATCCATTCTTAAGGGCCGACTCTGGGTATGGGTGTTTCAGAAAGCGTTCTTCACTTCCTCCTGCCCAGTCCACTCTCCTCCTGCTCTAAGATTCTAGAGCAGTGGGTCTCACCTCGGGGGAGGTGGGCTGTGATTTTGCCCCCTGGAGACATTTGGTAATGTCTGGAGACACTTTTCCATGTCACAACCTGTTGGAGAGTGCTCCCGGCATCCAGTGGGCAGGGACCAAGGATGCTCCTAAACATCTCGCAATGCAAAAGGCAGCCCCACGCCCACAACAAAATTACCCAGCCCAAATAACACCAAAGTTGAGAAACTCTGGTCTGGAGAGTAGGAGTTGGGGAGTCACACACCATCGAGATCTCTGGCATGGACTCTCCGATTCGTCTTTTATCGTACATGTGTGAAAATCTTGCCTCCCCAACAGGACTGTGAACTCAAGCACACTGTCTTCCACTTCATTTACACTCCCAGGAAAGCCAGGCCGGCTGTGGGCACGTGCTGAGGGCTCCGGGCACACAGCGGATGGGTGGAGAGAAAGGGCAGTACGCTTTCCAAACGACGAACTGGGCCGGGTCAGAGCAGCTGAATTTCAGCCCTGTGTGAGGCTGACGTGGTTTGCAGCTGCATTCAGGCCTTGGGGGAGAAGACCCAGGTATTCCTGGAGTGTTTCTTATGCTATAATGTCCTTTTTCCAGAAGACTCTTGAGGCATCCCATTATCCATCAACCACCATTAGGTGTTAACTACATGAGCTCACCCTTGATATTGTCCTTATTTTAGCCCTTTGCCCCCAAGTAGAGCTCCTCATGCTTCAGGGCAGTTTGGTGACTAGCTGGTCATCAGAGGTCAACTCTCCAGGTGACAGACGGGGCTACCCCTGGGAGCCGGGAAGACAGGCAAACGTTGGATCAGAGGAAGGGTTGGATCAGGGGAGCAGTCAGCAACCATTCCGCACTTACCTGGAGCTTCTCAATCAGAGGCGAGCTCTTCACCTTGATTTTAGGAGGGTGGCTGGCATTGGGCAGTGATTTCTATAGAGCAAATGAACCAAAACAACCGAGTGAGTGAGGTGAAGGGGACTGGGTTCTGGCCGGAGCCCAGAAGCCACAGATGGAAGAGGAGGGGAAGCTAATTTCACTGCTTCACACTTGGCTTCTGCAGCCCACTCACCTCCTCGGGGCCCGGGCCAGGCAGGGTCCCCCGCGCCATCCTCCTCTCACACCTAGCAAGACCTCTTGAATCTACGAATCAGAGCAGGCATGACCCACGTCCAAAACACAGGAGGTCTCCTGTTCCAGGAAGCAGGACTTCACGGTCATTATGAGGGAACAGACTATGTCGGAGGGGGACAAGATCTTCGTCTCATGACCTTCAACAACGTGAACCAACAGTTGGAGGGAATTTCAAAGAGAAAGGGCAAAATGACCATCCATTCTGTTTGTCACAATAAAACAAGGACCCGCAGACCAGGAGTGAAACCTGACAGATGCATTATTGAAATTCCTCCCTTGAACGAATGATATTTTGGAAAACCCCACCAATGATGTTGTTTATAAATCATCATTTTCCAAAACATTGATTATTCAATTTGATGAAGCAGACATTTACTGAGTATCTGCTACGTTCCAGGCACTGTGTTGGTTATATATAAATATATATATATCCATATACATGCTCTGTCAGTTGCAGACACTTTTGTGATGAACGTATGTGAGCAATCTTCTCTGTCTTTGGATTTGATATTATCTAAAAAGACTGACTCCTTGTTTTGTGTGAAACCCCTACAACCTGAGTCTGGTTCCACAGGCATATTGATCCTCAACATGTAGGAATGATGACAGTGATGAGTGATGATGATGATGATGATGATGAAGAAGAAAAAGAAGATGACTTCTATGTTGCCGGACAGAGGCCAAGGCAGAAAAGGGATTTTCCCATAGTTTGGAGACCCGGCGTGTATTATCTGCCCCTCACCCCCATGTACTAGTTTACCTAAATCAGAAGAAGAAGAACACCAATATCTTAGCGATATCCTGAGATATTCATTGAGTGACATGCCTGTATTTTAGTGGTGGAAGGAGGAAGACTTACTCAGCTGAATTTGTGGCCTTTTTAAGGCCCAACACTGAGGAAGAGAGGTGGAGTGGGACAGTCACTGCGGGGGGCTCAGGAGCCACCCCTTCCCCAGCCCCTCCTAATTCTGCCTTTGACAGGAGCCAGATGGATGCCTCCGCCTCAGCCTTCGCAACCAAGACCCAGGCGGGTGGGTTGGAATAGATGATTCCAAGGACTCGCCCAGCCCTGCGGTGCCTCTGGCTCCACGAGCTTACGCAGTCAGACATATTCCTAGAGCAACTTTCAAGGAGCCTTGTGTCCAAAGAGCTTCCAGCCGAGACTCAGTTGTCCTCAATTCCTGTGCTTTACAGTAAAAGTTCACAGGAGCCAGTGTCTCTGAAGATACTGTTTCAGAAACTGCAGGAACAATTTTGCCGACAAAACTCACTTTATGTAATACTATAAACTCTTCTCTTTTCCAACTGACCGCTCTCTTTGGAAGAGAGTGGAAATTAAATAAACACAGCCCTTTCACCATAGGACAGTGCTGGAATCCAGCTCGTGCTGCACAAAATCCTTGAGTTACGCTGGACTGCAAAGGAAGCATTCAAGAGCGGCTGGTGCAGTTCCCGGGAGCGGCAGCAGGTGGCAGCATTTCCCTTACCGTTTAACAAGTGACTCCCAGCACGTGGCTGGGAAACCAGCCTTACATCTCTCAAATATGTATGTATATATGTCTACACATGACATTCTTATAATGTCTAGAAATCAGGGACCTAATTTTTCAGAGGGGAGTGTTTTCCAGCCCTTCTCTGGGCAGACAGGGCAAGGTCTGTGGGTGTGTTAAACACCCTTTGGCTGGATCCTCCAGAGACGGGTAACTCCTGGTCACCCTGTCTGCAGGGGCTGACACCACTGTCTCAGGCCCAAGCAGGCAGAGGGAAGGGGCAGGGATGAAGAACAGACAGGAAGACGTTTCCCAGCACTGTGCCTTAGGAACTGAGGGGTGGCCTGACTGGGGCCCTCCCTCAGGCCCCCCAAGGCTCCCGGCATCAGGGCTCCTGCAGGCTGTGCTATGGGAGCACAGAACTGTGGACAGCAGCCCCATCCACCCCAGACAGACAAACCGGGCTGCTCATTTTATTTCTATGTGAATTTCAAGGTGACAGAAAGTCATTAATCCTGGAAGCAAAGTCCCTCCTAAGTGCAAGCAGCCTATCACTGCAGGCAGGCCATTCTCTCTAACTTCCACCCTCCTATCCATCCAGCTCTTGGGTGTTATATGCCGTTGAACTGCTACGTGTGCCCCACGGGGTGAAACCTGTAGATTTATTTCTCCCAGAGCCTCTGAAATACCCTGACTCACTCTGCTTTTATTCCAGGGAATAAAATGTCCCATGCAGCCCCTTCATCTGTGTGGTTAGTGTTCTCGTCCCATATTACAAATCAGGAAGCAGGCTTGGTGCAGTGCAGTGACTTCTCCAGGGCCCAGTCCAGGTCATCAGGGGGCAGCCTCGCAGCAGGCTCCTAATGGCCATGGCCTCAGCCTGCTGTCCAGCCCAGACACCAAACCCAGAGGGTGAAGGTCATGAGGAGAAGTTGGCCCTTCGTAAAGAGAAGTTGTTGGTGTGTATTTGATAACCCCAGGAAGCCACAGAATCATAATGCCAGCACTTCAGGAGACCCCAACAAAAAACTGTTTTTAAAACTGTGCTTCTTGGGGTTCTCATCCCAGAAGACGAGCCTTGTTGAGTGTGTAGGGGGAGTATTCACAGAGCAGATGGGGCTCCGGATCCCGCCCCTGCCCCTGCCCCCTTGACCCAGAGCAGCCACGAGTTTCTGTTTTATCTGATGGGCATCTGCATATAAGCCCTGGGCTGACAAGCTTTGAAAACCGTTGCTCTCCTCCAAATGTTTCTCTGCAGAGGGTGCCCAGGTCCACACAGGCAACCGGTATCCATCGTCAGGATGCCGGTCCCCGCAAGGAAGCGGGGAAAGAGGTGGCTGAAGCGGGATTTGGGAACTGAACTGTCTCTGGCTTGCTTCCTCTCTTTGGGGTTGGCCTCCCAGGCTGGAAGAGAGAACATGCACATTCATTTCTGGAGGGACCGTGAGCACAGTGATGGCTCCCGGGCTGCGGGGTAGGGCGTGGAGAGGTCCTCTCACAGCTCAATGAGATAAAGGAGAGGTGAGCACACAGCTGGGAATCTGTTGCTGGCTGTGCTCTCCGATACCAGAGCCTTTATTATGTTGGTAACATTGGCTATTTATATATGAGGCCTCCTGTGTGCTCTGGTTTTCTTCCAATGACCCAGAACAATAGTCAGTCTTTACAAGATCCCGCAGGACCACACAATTCTTTCACATTATAATTCTGCCTCATATAAGTGTAGCCCCTCTTTCCAGGCACCTTCTCCAACAGAAGATTGTATAAGTCAGACCTAGGAGCAAAACACAACTTTCATGACTCCTGAATCTGGTGTGGTAATACCATATGGCCCATTCTCTTTGCTGAAATTCTCAGGCTTGAAAAATAGTGTTCCTGTCCTTGACAAATCGTAAAGGAGGCTCAGTAAGAGAAAGTAGGAAGGACCCTAGTTTTCAAAATAAAAGGTTCAGGAAGCATCAAGAAGAAGAGCCCTGACTCTGAATCGGAGAAATTCCCTGCACAGGTTTCGAGGTCTAAAAGTGTGAATTTCGTGCCTCTTCCCATATGAAAGAGAAAGAAAATTCATAACCAGCATCCTCTGAGCCCCGGCCACAGCAGCACTTACCTCCTCGCCATTCTGGCCCAGCTCTACCTTGGGGGGGAACAGGGGGAGGGAGCAGGGCGGTTTCCTTCTTGTTGGTTTACTGGCTGGTGTCTAGAGGGAGGGTGACAGACGGACACACAGAGAGAAAAAGAGAGAGAGTGCTAATCAGGCAACAGGGAGGAAGAGGAAGGAAGTGGAAACTGGTTTTAGGAATGTTTAGGGATGTCTGCAGGAGAAAAGAATGGAGGGAGGGATTGCGTGTCTTTGAGACTGCCCATTAACTATATAAATTAACTCTATTTAGCTGTCTGCCCAATTTGATTTTCAGTCTCTTCTCTCCTAGTCCTTTCCTGCTGGAGCATCCTCCTTTACTTGAGACTCCTTGGCTTAACACAACCTCTCAAAATGACACGCGCATCCTTCCGCGCACTGCCAGCACCTTAGATCAACACCACTTTCTTCACCCTTTATGACATTTCTATAAAGGCCAGAAACTGTGGACCAATTTTTCAGATGGGAAAACAAAAGCACAAAATAACAGACCTAAAAAAGCATGACAACTTCGCTGTCGTTTGCCCCAAGAGGCCATGATAAATCTCCCCAACCTCGGGGTGCCCTTCCCTCATTTCACTTCTCATGAGCTGCTCAGACTGTATGACTCAAGGAAACCTGGCCCAAATCTCTCCAGCCTCACAACACCCCTTTTCACACTGTCCTCTCCAGCAGGATTCTTCCAGAATCCACTGGTCACTGGATCCCTGTCCTTTCTGACCCCTGGCTTCTTATCTGAATGTGCTTCCCTTTAAGTCCTCTCTTCCTTCTCAGCTCTCAGTTTGGGATCTGCCCTGCCCTGCCCTGCCCTGCCCTGCCCTGCCCTGCCTTGTTCTGGATTCCTAGGCGCCGGGGCAGGACCCCAGCGTGGGGACTTCTTTCTTCTGAACCAGAGCAGGCCTGGCACGGCTGTGCAACATCTGCGTCTCCATCAGGGGATGCTGGAGATGGAAACGAATCCCGACCCCGCCTCTGAGGGGCAGCCTTTCAGCTCTCCGCCCGCATCTCCTCCTTCCTCCCAGGAGGGTAAGCCCCGCTCTGTGGGGAAAGATCCTGCACAGCCCAGCAGCAGCAGCGAGGCGACATTCCTTACATTCAGAGGGACCCCTCTCTGGCTTTTCTTCCTAATTTGGTATTTACCAAGCCTCCTCCCTCCCTCCCTCTCCTCTGGGCCGGACCCAGACTTCCCCATCCTCCAGCCCCCTCCCAGAAGAGGGGCTCCGAAGCGCCAGACCCACCTCCTTTGCAGCCGCCGCCTGCTCCCTAAACCGCCCAGCCAGCTGGGCCACCGAGGGGGGCGCTGAGTTGTCCACACTGGCATTGGTCTCCGCTGGTCTTTCCTGGCAAACCAAAAGGAAGCAAACGTTAACCAGCAAGTGTGCGCTTGGCTCCTCTCAGTGTCTACCAGGTGCCAGGCAAGACACTCGTCTTGTGGCCACAAGCAGGGATGCTGTGACAAGGAGGTATTTTAACCGCATTTTGCAATTGGTTCCTGCATCCAAAGATTTAAAAAAACCATTCAGTCAACCACATTTAGGGACCATTTACAATGCGCTCAGCCCTGCATGTGGCCCTGGGGATCTGGAGAGGAAGAAGAGATGGTCCTGCCCTGCAGGGTGCCCAGGGCTGTGGGAGGCAGTGCAAGCCGCGGCTTCCCCCTCCGTGTAGACCGGGCCTGCAAAGGGCTGGGTCAGCGACAGCATCGAGTCTCCTTGCCTTGGCCAGACGAGGCTTTGAACACCAGGCTGGTGAAATGCACTGGAGAGAGGGGCCTTTAATTGTATGAAATGGGTGAGCAAACGCCCTAAATGGAGCTTTTAATGTGTATATACGTGTCTTGTCCTCCCCACCTAACTGAGGCCCTGGGCACAGCCATGCTCAACACATTTGTTGAATCAATAAACGAATGTGAGGCAGGCAGTGGTGGCGGCAGAGCGGACGCGGGGAGTCAGCCTGGGGGCTCCTCTCCTGCTGGCTCCGGGCCTTGCGCACCGACCCCACCTTCCACGCCTTCACAGGGACAACAGTGGCACATCCCTCACAAGGTGGCTCCGTGGATTCAGTGACTAAAGTGCGGGCCAGGCCTGACCCAGGATAAGCGCTCAGGTGGGGTGTTATTACCACAGGCGATGGGCCCTCCTGGAGCCCCCGGTGCCGCGGTTGGGCATCTGTGCACCGCGTGGCTGTCCTTCAGTGTCCTCACTGAGCGACACTCACCCTTCTGCTCTTCTGTCCCTTTTTGCTGAAGGGATTTCCTGGATGCTAGTTTTCTCCAAGCTGGTTTCAAGCACATCCGAGCCCCCACTCTGCCACCACGGCAGGTCACCCGTTTACTGTGGCTCCCCCTGCCCCAGGGCACCACCATGCTCCCTGAAGAGACCAAGACGCGCCCTGGACGCGGTTCACTCCATGTGCCGTTTGTCACCGAGACACAGAGGGCGAGTCAGCGAGTGTTGGAAATGGCCACCTCGCTTCTGCCTTGTTACACACAGCCTACAGAACCACCTGGATTTAATAGTGTTTCTTAAATGTCCAGACCCAGAGACGTTAGGCTTTTGTTTTTTGTGACCACGATGACAACAGTTCTTACACAGACGGCAAACTCCCTCTCTGCTTGCCCTCCTCACATCCAGCCTGACACTGGGAGCACCTGGGCAGCCGTTTGCCTGAGAAAGTCTCTCTCTGTCTTTCCGTGGGGCTCACGGCCTCAGAGACGAGGCATGCTCCTCTCCAGCTGCCGTGTGTGCCCCCGGATACTGCACGTGCACACACACAGAGACACACACACAGACATGCACACACACACAAACATGCACGCGCACACAAATGCACACACACAGAGACATGCGCATGCCCACACACACAGACATGCACACATATTTCCTAGGGCCTCCTTTTTGTGCTAAAAGTGTCTCCAAGCTTTCTTATTTGGGTGGTCCCCCCAGAGTAAATGTCATGCTCATGCTATGATGCTGCCCCCTTGACAGACGGGAGGGGCAGACCCCTGGCCCACTAGCTGCCGGCAGGGAAGTTAAGTAAATGGAGGCAGAGCTTTGGGAAGAAGGCTCTGTTAGAGACAGGAGCGCCTGCTGCGGCCCTGGACCTTCCGCCCTGTGAACAGGCTGTCCTGGAGGAGGTGCTTCCTGCACGATTTGAGTTCATCCCCATCCCAGCCTAAACGCCAAAGGCTGACTTCACACGGAGATGTAAAAGGATTCACCTCTCAGCGATGCCAGAGTCCCCACAGCGCTGGGGGAAGCAGGGGAGTCCGATCCCCTCATTAGTGCCCGCTGGGCAGAGCTCCGACTCGCACCTGTCCGACCACACTTGTGGCGTCAGGAGGGGCCAACATCTTGTCCGCTGGGAACAACGGAGGGGCTCAGGGACAGTGTGATTAATTGAGCTGCTCTTCGCAAAGATGCTGGGCCCATCGGTCTGTCCATCTGTCTCACTTCCTGCCCACATAACAGATCAGTCTCTCTGTCTGCTGCTGTTTACTGCTGGGTCCTGCTGACAGCGCACTTTACCTCCGCTCCAAAGGCGCCAATCACTGGCGGTGCAGGAAGATACATTCCAGATAAAAATAGAGCTGTGCAGGAGTCAAAAACTCTCCCTGACTTCCCCGTCTCGAAACTGGGCTTGGCAAGGGGCTCAGAAGCAAGAGAAGTACGAGGCTTCTGGAAGCATTTAGGGCTTAAAAACTGGGTTGAAAGAAAAACTATAATACGTCTGAATTTGTTTTCCTGGAGCCCAGTGAATGGGTTTTCTTTAGAACATCTAAGCTTCCCCAGCTTGTGGAAGCCTGGAAAATCCATTCACCGCCAGCCCCTCTCCAGATGCTTCTCATTCTGTGTTGTGGAAGACTAACTGATTATTGCCTTCTCCCAGCTGGGCACACTAAAGCCCAGAGAGGGCAAGTAACTTAGTCAGAGTCACATAGGAGAAGTCAAACAGAATAATCCGTGAAACACTTAACTCCAATGCCTGGTAATCCAGCAACGGACATCAGTCAGGTAGCATAATTTGTGAAGGTACTTTGAAAACCGTCAAGTGCCATAAAAACAGTGAAATTATCATTAGCTACTGGGCTGCACGGGTGAAAGGGAAGAAGCATGGCCTTAAGGATGGACGGGAGCCAGTGGCCCTGCCTGTTGGAGGCTCTGCCTGGATTTCTGCCTTGCATTTCTGGCAGGTACAACTACCAACGTCCTCCAGGGGTCCAACAGCACCACCTCAGCCCCAGGCAGGTGAGCGACTTCTGCAGTAGCTCTCTCGGTCCTGAGGATGGTTTAGTAAGGGTATGCTCTCACCTTGACTGTTCTTAGTTCTGAGAAGGACTTCAGGTCCCTACTAGTCCCGGTAGGGATCCTGGGACCCCTTAGCCTCCCTGGGACTAAGCGTTGTTTCTCTGTTCCAGGGATCAGAAAGTATTTAACACAGAGTCTGGAACCCAGAAAGTCCTCAGCGAAAGCACATTCTTCCCCCTCCCCCATCCAACCCAGCCTGTGGTGTCAGGGCCTGGGAATCTGCTCCTGAAGTCACCGACACTCTCAACCCAGCCCTTGGGACATGCCTCCCCATTCTGGGTCTTGATCACTGTTGACCCAGCTTGTCCTTTCTTCTTGGGCCACGTCTTAAATCTGTTTTCTGAGCTCCTCTCCCTTTGTGTCCTCCTGTAGCTGACACCCATCTTTATGGACTGAGGCCTCCACTCCATCTTCCTGGGCCCTGATCTGCTGACCAAGGCCTTCCTGCCCCGTTCCAGCCTGGCCCTGCCAGCCAGCGTGGAAACCACTCCATGGTTCCTGTCTGGCTTTGCCCAGGCCAGGAGAAAATCACCCTTCGTGTTTACTTTCCATTTCTATGGGACTTTCTTCTGAGAACTGAGGAGCCCCTGTGTCTGGACAGCATGGAACTTCCCCCACACTGTTGCCATGTTGAGTAAA